CGACCATGCTCCACCATAATCTCCGCTGAGCTCGCGAAATGCATGCAACATCTTGTTTCGAGTATGTTGTGGGCCCAGTATGCTGCTGTGAAGGCACAGGTCACTGCGCGGGCGACGACTTCGCTCGAGCTCCACAAGAGCAGCATCCACGTCGTTGGCCTCACACCAATGTAAGCTGCCAGCAAATAGCGAGGGCCTCTCAGCCCGCCCCCCCCTCTGGCATGTACCCTAGCTCGTCCAGTGCCGCTGGATTCGGTCCATCCACCATCATTCCGAAAAACCAACATTTTACACCCATCTCACTCCAATCGAATCCGCAACGGAAGTTTCCATGGCCCCACTGCGTGACTGTGCATCGGAGGCAGTGCCTGACTTTCGTCGCGCGGCGCGAACGAGCCATGTCGCGCGCATCGTCCCGCAAAGCAGCCGCGTCTCCCGGCGGTGTGTCCTCGTTTATCATGGCACGGTCGCAGCAAGATCGATTCCACTTGGCCACCGTCGACCACCACGACTACAACATCCACCTGTGGCAGGTTGGCCTGTCGATTGGGAACCGAGAATTGCTCGTGGACGCCGAGCTCAAGCTCGAGGCTGGTGCGCATTACGGCCTCGTGGGTCGCAATGGCACAGGCAAGTCGACGCTGCTGCAAGCCCTCGGCGACGGGCTGTTTGAAGGCATTTCGTCCCACATTCACGTCATGTACGTCCACCAGTTGTTTCACGTCGACCTGGAAAACCCAGAGCTGTCTGTCGTGAACGTGCTGCTGAGTGGCGACAAGCAGCGCGTCAGCCGTCAGCACATGATCGAGTTGCTCGAAGCCGGCCTCGAGACCCAAACGCTGCACCAGACGTTGAAGCAGCTCGAATATGAGGCCGTCGAAGCGGCCCGAGCAAAGATGGAGCGCGTCGCGATCAAACGGAGTGGTCTGCGCGGCCTCACGGCGCGGAACAAGCTGCTGGCGCTCGAGAAGGACGTGGCCGTAGCCAAAGCCGCATGGGATCAAGCCAGCTCCAACCCACCGCCTGACACGGACGACGAGATCCTAGCCGCTAACAACTGGCTCGAGTCACTGTACGAGCAAGAGGACATGTCGAACGAACCGCGGGCGCGTGAAATCCTCGTGGACATTGGTACTCGCCGTCTCCGTGGAGTTTATGGCATGGGATATGACAAGCGCATCGGTAGGACTGCCCGTGGAGCAGCACGATCGCCCGTTCCACGAGCTGTCTGGGGGGTGGAAGATGCGCGTGTTCTTGGCCCAGATTGAATTTCTCCAGCCGAACCTGCTCTTGTTGGACGAACCGACCAACCACTTGGACCTTCCTCGCATCCAGTGGGTGCAAAACTTTATCCAAACCCGGTTGGAAGGCGTGACGATTGTCACGGTGCGAGTCTCCCTTTGTCCGCGATGTCGTTACCCCGTACGTGCGCTGTAGGTCAGCCACGACCGTGAATTCCTCAACGCTGTTGCGGACATGATCATTGTCGTGAAAACGAACAAAACTCTCGGGTGCGACGGCCTCCTCTCCTGGTGGTCTCCTGCTGACATGGATGGCCGTTGTGTGGGGTAGGTATTTTGCCGGAAACTACGACACGTTTGAGCAGACGATCCAAGACAAAGAAGTGTTCAATGCTCGGCTCGAAACCAAGTTGAATGCGCAAGTCGAGAAGATGGAAAAACAAGTCGCTCAAATGTCGACGCAGGTAGAACTGTGTTCTGTTTGCCTGTCGTGGGGCACTTGTGCGCTGGGACGGCGGGCTAACGTTGGTGAGGTAGGCGCGCAGGTCGAACGACGACAAGAAATTGGCGGCCGCGGCGTCCAAGAAGAAGAAGATTGAAAACGTCGGGAACCAAAAGAATGCCAAGGGCCATCGGTGGGTCGTTGCTCTTGTTGCGATGCGCTCACCACCCGTTCGTGTAGACTTCGCGTCAACAAGGATCGCATCGGCCACTTCTTTACCAACCGAGACAGATCCCAAGACCAGTTCATCGATTTGCACGTGGTCGAGCCATGGAACTTTCCCCCGACGCCGGATGTCTCGACTCACTCGGTGCTGAGCGTTGAAAACCTCACGTTCAGCTATACGGCAGACAAACCTCTGCTGAAGAACGTATCGTTCAACATCCACAAGGGCGAACGAGTAGTCTTGATTGGATGCAATGGCACAGGGAAATCGACTTTGATCAAGTTGCTGTGCCAGTCGATTCCGGCCCCGGCGGCGGACTGCATTAAAGTGCCTCCCCTCGTGCAAATTCGAGCGCTGACCCAGGACATTGTCGAAACTTTGCACCACGAGCCCAAAACACCGCTGCAGCTGCTGAACGCGGAAACGGAAGAACTCGGGCGCAAACACTTGGCTCGGTTTGGACTACGAGGGGCGTTTGTCAGTGCCGCGCCGACCAACACGTTGTCTGGAGGTCAGGCCATGCGACTCGCGCTCGGGCTCATCACGTACCCAACTTGTCCGCAGCTGTTAATTCTCGATGAACCGACCAACCACTTGGACATGAGCAGCATCGGGGCGTTGCTGGAAGCGTTGAAGGGATACCAAGGCGCGGTGCTTTTGATTTCGCACGACGTGCACTTTTTGCACGCATTTGAACCCCAAGCCGTGCTGTGGCTCACGAAGCGGGGCGAAG